CTGGGGAGGACCAGTGTGCATTACAGAGAAATAGTATTTGATAAATGTGGAGGGAATGATAGAATGAGAAAATCTCCGTTTTAAATCTCCAATGAAATAAATAATTCACTGATCAGGTGAGCATCAGAAATCAGTGCTGAAACCGTGAGGGGAAATGTTTGGAAGTAGAATATTCACAAGTTTCTTAAATATCACTTACAAATTAAGTAGCTACTGAGTGCAGTATTGCAAAGGGACAAGTGCATTGTCACGAGAGAGAGAGGGAGCGAGAGAGACTGAGGGAGAAAGAGACACACAGAGGGAGAGAGAGAGAGAGAATGGCAATTACTGCCACACAATGAACACGTTTTAGTGGGCTGCGCCGCAGGTATGAGCTTTGTGATGCGATGAAATGCAAAACACACAGCATAATGAGCTAATCTTGCTGGAAATGTTTACTGTGAATCCATTCAAGTATCTAAGACTAGCTTTCAATGCAAAGCTAAGTTCAATGACACTATGCGGAATTCGACAAGTATAGACTATGAGATATCCTCAAAGACAACTGGTTTGAAGTTTTCAAAAAGTCAATATCATGGAAAAGTAGAAGGGAGAGAGGAAGGGAGAGGGAGAGGGATAGGGAGAGCTGGGGGAGGACTCAGGGTCTATTGTATGGCAACCAAGGCAATTCCTGAAACTTACTGAATCTTTATTTTTTTTTAAAGTAGCTACAAAGCAAATATTAAGGATAATTTCAGGCATTTGAAAAGAGACTTGTTACTTATTTTCCAGAATTGGAATTATTGTTTATTTTTTGAAGTGCAATGATTGCACTGGAATTAGTCTTATTTTCAGCAGATACATGATGCAGTATTTACAAATGAAGTAAGATATCTGCAACTTTGTATGACTCAAGGAAAAAAAGAAACCAGGGAAGAAAGATGGTGTGAGAAAGAGCTAGAGGGAGGAAGCACTGGAAGGGATAGAAAGAGAAGAAGGGGATAGCAATGAAAGGGGAGCAAGGGTGGAGGAGAGACAGAGAGGGAGGAAGGGAAGGGGGTTGGGAGGGGTGGGAAGCAAGCATGGAAAACCATTAATAGGTCTTGACGGCAGTTGTTGAACTCCATAGTTCGTTGTATTACTCTTTCAACTTTTATATATTTCATGTTTACAGTAAAATTGGGGAAATAAAAAGATGTATGTGAGAGGCAAATGCACTCATGCAGCCCTCGTGTAAACTGGGTATGTACTCGAATTGTATGCCAGTCGCTGAGCTAGAAGCCTGGTACATTAAGTGTGGCCTGAGAGCCAGCAGCATCAGCAGCATCTTGGGATTCATTATAAATGCAGAGTTTCAGGCTGTACACCACAGCTTCTGAGTCAAAACCAAAAATTCTTAAACAGGATTTCCAGGCAACTTCTTTACCCATTGTTTTGATGTTGTTACTGGTGTAACAGACAAAATGACAATCGCATTATCTGTGAAACACATGTAATTGTCCAACTGCTTTTTTAATGCTGCAACTAGGGCTATCTGAATTTATATGGCTGTGTATACTTAAATGGCAGGGCACAATATATCTTCTTTTTTCCCCTGAGGAACATAGCATAATTGCTGTGTAATTATATTTGTTTCAGGGCAGGTAGCCTATGAGTCAATAAACAATAAAGCTACCAGCAAAGATTCAGATTGGCTTTGCTTCCATCTATTTCTATATTTGCTCTTATCAGATACAATTACAGGAAAATAGAGGGGCTGTTGCAAAGGGAGGAAACAAACATCCACAGGAATCTGTTCTGGATTCCTCTGCCAGGTCACTGTTTGTGGACCACATTTGAACAGTACTCCCCTGCCTGGCAGAGACAGCTGACCACCAGCAGGGCAATGTCAACCAGTGAAACCCTTCTTCAGAAAGTGTCAGTCAGGGGCTGGGGATTTAGCTCAGCGGCAAAAGCGCCTGCCTGGCAAGCGCAAGGTCGTGAGTTCGGTTCCCGGTGCCGGAGAAAAACCACACACACACAAAAAAAAAAAAAAAAAAAAAACCAGAAAGTGTCAGTCAGTGGTGGCTGCAGAAATCCAGCACTTCCAGAAGATTTTTTCAAACTATGGTTTGTGAAAATTTGTAATCCAGTCTGTCCTACCCACCTTACAAGAAATGTCTATCTCCCTTCAAGATCCATTTGTCCTAGAACGTTCAATCTGGGATTTCCAAATGCATAAAACTCCTTGTATATATAAAGACTTATATTAATCAAGGCAACCAGTATCACTGTCATTATCTTTTTTTCTATAATTTCTGACTGACACATGAATCTAAACATAATTTGGTGCACTTCTCCCCATTTTCCTGTTAAGCCCTGGAAAGTTGTGGGAGAATTTTCGGCCCTCAAGTCATTTATTTCCAGAATGGCAGCCCAGCTGCTGATGTTGTCTGTCTTGCACATTCACATAAACCAGCCAGGCTCCCTGAGAGATCTGTACAATAGCTGCCTTGCACAGGTAATAAAGCTGATAAATAGCTCCCTGTTTCTGACACTTTTGAATGCAATTAAGAAGTGATAGCTTGTGTGAGCCCTGCTAATGCTCTGGGGTTTGTGGTGAATAAACTCTAGATGCTTTGATTCACATCTCTTCTTTCTTCACAACTTCGTCTCCGTCTCCCAGTTTACCTGTGGTTTTCTGCAGGATCTTCATGTGACTTCCACTCACGGCAGTGAGCCCTTCCTTATTTTCACTGCAAAGGGAAAATTGGTCAGGTGGGATTTGAGGTCTCTTCTCAGTGAACAACTTTGGAGCCTTCATTTTTTGTGTCTTGGTCTCTCTACTTAGTAATACACACAGAATGTATCAGATCTCCTTTCTCTGGAAAAGCAGGCAGGGTGGATTACACCTGTTCCCCCCAGATAATTTGTTTTCCTTCTTTTACAGTGATTGTTGACTCTTTGATCTTCTGAAATGCTCCCTATCAATTAGAAAACTTGGTCATCTGGAGCGAATTTAAATGATTTACCCACAAGAAGACCATAGCATAGCAATACAAGATGGAAGTTGTAGAATCCAGAACTGCGTTTCTCACTAAGCTTACAAATTTGGGAAACTTGTTTTAGTTTTTCAGAGCCTGAATATTCTCATTTTTAAACTGAAGTTAATGTAGCTTCTTGGTCCATTTCCCACTACATTTGAACAACCCTCCCCTGCCTGGCAGAGACAGCTGACTACCAGCAGGGCAATGTCAACCAGCAAAACCCTTCATCAGAAAGTGTCAATCAATGATGGCTGCAGAAACCCAGCACTCCCAGAAGATTTTCAAGGAGCCAGTGTATGTGGACTTAGGCCCTTCTTTTGCTTTTTGTTTTGAGGTACAGTAATTATACATTCACATGCAGTTGTAAGAAATAATAGAGTGACGTCCTGAATATTTTCACCCAGCTTCTCCCCATGGTAGTGGCTGCACACTTATTGTAGGCTATCACAACCAAGAAACGGACAGTGACACAAATCCACTGAACTTATTTGGATTTTACCAGTTTTACATGATTCATTTGTGCATTTGTGTGTATCTAGTTCAGTTTTAATTTCCCAAGGCTGCCATAACAAAATGCAATGAACTGTGTGGCTTAAAATAATAGGAATTTATCCTCTCTTCGTTCTGGAGGTTAGAAATTCAGAATCAAGGCGTTGGTCGGGCTGTACTCCCTCTAAGACCCTTAGGGGGAATCTTCCTCACCTCTTCCAACCTCCAGATGTTTGTTGGTATATTATTCTGCTTTCTTTTACTAATAACACAGTAGACTGAGCAAGTTACACAAAAAAGAGAAATTTATCTTCGCTCATGATTTTGGTGTGGGGTCACCAAAGTGACCACACCTGATGATAGCTTTCTTTCTTTTTTTTTTTTTTTTGTACCAGGAATCAAACTCAGGACCTTGTGCTTGCCAGGCAGGCACTTATGCTACTGAGCTATATCCCTGGCCAATGATAGCTTTCTTGATGGGAGAGTACTGCTTGGGAGTAGCACAGGGCATCATGGAGTGAGAGAGAGGGAGCACATGTGTACCTTTTAGTCTCCCCCAGTTTTCTTGTAAAGCCTCTAGGATTATATCACAGGGATCTACCAGTAGGGCTTTATCTAATCCCAAGTACCTCCCAAAGGCTCTATTTCTGCACATTATAAGTAGATCAAGCTTCCACCGTCTTAATATTCACAATGGGGTATTAATAAGCTTCAGAGAAGACAACATATTTAAGCCACAGCTTTGCTTGTGGCAGCGTATCTCTGATCTCTGCCTTTCTCACTACATGGTTCTCTTCTGTGTCTTCACATCACCTTCTCTCTGTCTGTCTCTCTCTCTGTCTGTCTCTCTCTCCCTCTCCAAATTTTCCTCTTCTTATGTGGATACCAGTCATTGTGGATTTGGGGCCCACCCACTCTAGTGTGACGTCCTCTTAAGTAATTACATCTACAGTGAACCTATTTCTAGCCAAGGTCACATTTTAAGGTGCAGGGAATTAGGACTGTAATATATCCCTTCTGGAGGGCATAGTTGACCTCATAAGAAATTCTATGCAATACTGTTACATGTAGGTTTGTGTGGCTGCTACCGCACTCATGATAAAGAACAGTTCTGTTACCATGGGGATAATTTTACAACCATCGATACTTTTCTCTCTCTTTGCCCTATCACACGATCCCTTGGAATGCTGCTCATATGTTCTCCATCTCTACAGTTATATATATTATGTAAATAGGATCATACAGACCACTTTGTAACCCAGTGTCTGCACTCACACACACATATGTGGCTGTGTAGTTGGATGCATCAGTGGATTTTCTTCACCATCAAATGAGAGGAACTCTAGAGTTTGGTTTACCCAGTTCTTTTCTCCTGGGCTCTTTGTTGGCCTGTGTAGAATGTCCATCAGCACTTTCCTTTTCCTCATCTCACAAAGAGAAGATTGGGAACTGTGAGGAATATTTGTTCTCTGGGAAGCAGACTGAGACATTGTTTTGCCACACTGATCCTGCGTAGTAGATCTTTATTTGTTGCAGCAGAATCTCAACTTTAATTTCAGCTTGGAAAGAAGCTGTAAGTCTTAAGGAATGAAAAATCATAAAATTCCCAAGAACTTTTGATAAAAAAATGTATAATGTACCAACTGTTGACTCGCACCATGTTCGAGTTCCATGGGAAGTGGGAAGCCATTTTTTCCCCCTTCTTGTTGATCTGGAGACTGTACTCCTAGACACAGGGAAGACACATTCCATGGCAGTGTGCTCAGTTGCTCTGCAGACAGTGGAGTTGGGAGGCAGGTGTTTTCTTCACTTGGGTCTTTTATGTCCAGTCTTGACCTTTCACCTCATGTGCTTGTTCCAACTGCCTACAGTGTATTTTCCCCTAAATGAGGACAGCTCATGCAGACTTGCCTCTCGTCTAGAAATTAAAATAGAATTGGAAGTCATACAATGTCCTAGTTGCAGATCAGACTTTTGAAACACAAGCTATCAAATTATAGTTCTAAAGAGAAAGGAAACTGTTGATGCTTGGATGCCTTGAGATGAAGCCACAGGTCAATCGCTCAGTGTGGTCCAAAATTGCTGAACCATCCTCTTACCAGAGAGTAAGTGGGACCTCTCAAAACTTCTTCATTGTCTGACACCCCAGCTATTTTTGTCCCTACAAATGTTGTAGCAATTTAGCAATCTATCGACTTAACTTTTTTCCATAAACATGCTGCCTGGTAGATGCATAATTCAAATTCACATGCAAACTATGAGATGTTTGCTTAGCAAGAGCTGTAATTTAAATGTAACCTCTGTAGAAAGCCATTCAGCAGCGCGTGTGTGTAAAGTGTAATTTAGTCTGTAGAAGCAATCTTTCCCTCTACTGTTCTAATGTGTGAGCTTGTTTGCTAAATAATCATTGTAGCATTTTGCTCAAAGTGGCGGTTTTTATGTATTTTTCCCCCACCACTTGTAAATGTTGCCAAGGTAAATGAGAGTTCTTTGGAAACTGTTACTGTCATGTAGTTCTCATTTGAAAATGTCACAATAAGGCAGTGTTCTTTGATGCCAAGATGCATAGAAGGTTGGAACATGATGAACGCGGTACCTAAACACAGTAAAATAACATAGCATAATAGCTTGATTTTTTTCTTAAAATGAGAGGCTTTTTGTTGTTTTTATTCTAAAGAGTCCACTTGGGAGACAGAGCTAGGAGTACTATAGAATGAAGAAAGAGCAAGCCAGGTGGGAGTTTAGAGGAAATTATTATTATTTGTAACTAGGTCCAAATGCAAAGAAAGAGAAATTTGGGAGGAAAAATGTACCGCAAATAAGTGAAATGGAGATTACAGCTCAAAATATGTCATTAATACCAAGCTACAGAAGTCTTCCCAAGAGACAGGAGGAGGAACAGAGTAAAAGCAAAGTTTTGAAGGTAAAATTTGAAGAGTCAGAGGAGTAACAAAGAAGAAAACACAAAAAAGAGTACAGGTGCAGAGGCAGCCAGATCAGGAAAGGACACCAATTTCTAAGTGTACCTTTGACAAATCTTTTTCTTATCTACTACAATATTAGTGAATATCAGGAGGAATTTTGTGTGTGTGTGTGGGTATGTGTGTGTGTGTGTGTGCATGTGCATTTGTGTGTGTGTGTGTGTGTGTGTGTATGTCCTAAAAAGTGACTAGTCAGTAACATCTGTTAAATCTGCATGTTATGTACCAGATTGGAGCTTATGAAAGACTTTATGCACTGCAAACAAATGACATCATGGGGTAGTGACTTGTGAAATGCTAGGTATATTAGCATTATATAGACCTGAAGCTATCTTATTTTCTTTCAGAAAGATGGGGAGAATAGTTTGTTATATTCTATTATATTCTCATCTGTTGAACACTTATTGAGAAATTACTATTTCTCAGGCACTGTGCTAATGCTATGTATTCAACTATGACTTGCACTTTTGTTTTGGGGGACCGACTACTATGCAGCTTTTGAATGGTAAGTTCCAGGGAAGTGGATGGTGGCTTATTTTCCCTTCTGAATCATGTTGTCCCAAATATTTCCCAACTTATTAAGACACCAACTTTCTCCCTATCATTTGTCATCATTTTATGAACTACAAAAAATTAATCTTTCCATACTATAGCTGTACCTTGATTCTGATTACTCACCTTAGACAAAAATTATTCATCATCATGCCCTTTGATTGCACTCAAGAACAATCACTACTATGTGAAGCTTTCAAGCACTGAAAATTTTTAAAAGAATGGGTCTGCTACTCTAAGGACAATTTTAAAGGTTTCAAAAGTACTTTAAACAATGACAACAATCCTAGAATAAATAGACTCATAATCATCACTTTAGGTTTTCTTTTATCTACTAATAGTGAGAAAACCAAAACAAGGAAAAAGTCATCTTTACCTGTCTTGCCTACCAAAATGTTAGTGAATATCAGGAATAATTTTTTGTATGACTTGAGTCCTAAAACATGGCTAAACAGCAGTATCTGTTAAATCTGAGTGGTATGTAACTTATCACATCCAAAGGTCAAGAGCATAAAATCTGTGTATAGTACACCTTTTCCCAGATAACAGATTATCATTTGAAATAATATAACATTGCAAGTTATTTTTGTACTTACCTCCTTCTTTTAGACTGGAACTACAGGACTAAGGCTGTAGCCCTTAGTACAGTGTAAATCCTTTGTAAGAAAGATCAAATGTGTTCTTATGAACTCTGTAGCTCCCTTTCAGTGCTCCAGTGATATCTCACGTTTGAAACCAACAGTAGCCTTTCCTTCTGGTCGCAGGAGCTGCATTGTGTTCGACATCACAGAGTGCTTAGAATCCTCCAAGGAAATGTCCTAGTAGGGGTGGGGGAGGATTGCGTGCCTTTGAGCAAAGAGGATAGAGACAATATCATTGTTAGTTTAATCATAGGCATAAGACATGGGGTCAGGTCAAAAAGTAGACTCAGTGAACTGGACAGAGGCTGTGACATGCTAACAGAAGCAGACATTTCAGAAACGGATGTAATATAACCCATGCAAGAGATACCTCCCAGGGCTCCAGATTCACCTGCCAAGGACTCCGATTGACTTTCACATTAATCAACTCTATGTGTAAAATATTCAACCCCTCTAAGAGACCTTTTTCTACCAGGCTGATCTCAACAGTCCATGTGCAAACATGGTCTGTGTTTCTTTGGAAGCAAACTATAATAACCAGAAGGTTGTATCACAAGACCTCACATTTTCACAGTGCAGGAGGAACTTTGCAGAGACAAGCTGTGATGCCGGGTGAAGAGCCTCAGGCTGTAAGGCTGCTTCATGAACTGTTCACATCAGGCTGGCTACATCACAGCCCTGTAGGCAGCAGATGCCATCCTGTGCTATAGCAACCACTGGCTTAGCACCTAAGGCCCTTCTTGGGCCTTAGGACCATGAAAGTCTTTCAGGACCATGAAAGTCTTGGGTGTCTCTGAATCTTGCTGGTGACTTCAGCTGCTCACACCTTAACAAATCAGAGCTTGGTTTTTTTCTCAAACTAGGTTACTTTTTCAGGTAAAATGGGGCATTCTTAATTTTTCTGATACAGAAGTTGGAAACTGAGATAGTTTCAGGCAAAAGAAGATGAAAGATCGTCTACATATGGGGTTGTCCCTGGTTACCAGTTAGCTATCTTAGTCTGTTTTGTCTGTTATAATAAAATACCATGAATTTCATGGCTTATAAACACAGATATTTATTTCCCACATTCTAGAGTCTGGGAAGCCCATGAGTCAAGGATCTGGTGGGCTTGGGGTCTGGTGCGGGTCTTCTTCCAGCTTCACAGATGACAACTTCAAGCTTCTGCCTCACATGGTGAAAGGGGCTGGTAGGCATCTGTCTGGGGCCTCTTTTATAAAGGCAGTAATCCCATGCATCACAGCTCTGCCATCATGAGCTCATAAACACCCCAAAGGCCCTGCTGTCTGACAGTACCAGATTTAAACCTGGGACAACCAGGTTTAAACATATAACATGCGGGGCTGGGGGTTTAGCTCAGCGGCAAAAGCGCCTGCCTGGCAAGCGCAAGGTTGTGAGTTCGGTTCCCGGTACACCGTGGCAAGCTGCTTCACTTGGGAAGCCAGTAGTTATTTTAGAGTGTTTTAGGCATACTTGTTTGATCTCATGCTTTTTTGGAATTCCCAGGGAAGCCTTCATCACTGCCCTCCACTTCTACCTTCTTTCTATCAAGCAAGCTAGATCTGCTCTGTTCCAGATCCCCTGACAGCCTTTCCCACAGCAGTGCTTACTTCCTGTGCACTTGCTCCTGCCCTCTTTCCAGTAAATCTCCCTGGAGAGGGACTCTGACCTTTCTCTACTATTGCTGCCCTGGGCTCCTCGCACCATAGTCCTCACTCTAGCTTATTCCTAGACCTGGATTCTCCTGAGGTCACTGGTGCTTCTGAGACACAGGACTAGGGTTTTGTCACAGATCTGGAGAGAGGTTTCTCATGGCCAGTTGATGTCCTGTCTTGTGCGGGCAGAAGTGCCTAGGCTACGTGATCCTCTCGGCCCCTTTCCATCTTGCTCTTCTCTGTGACTGGCTCCTCTGAATCTCAGCGTATCCCAGGGGCACTGTTCTATTGCAGTGTATTACAGTTTCCTGTAGGGGTCATTACATCAGAAAAGAATTACATTTGGGGTGCAAATAGAGAACAACCAAACAAATCAGAAAACAACCTCCAGCTAATAAAAATACTCATGGAATGAAGTTTTCTCATTAGCGGAAAAGTCTACCTAACTGAGGTAAAACAAATTTATGTTTATTATTATCAAAATATAAAGTAATCTTCAGTCATAACGTACTTCATGATGGCAAACATGTACCAGAAGCCTGTTATATGCCAGGCATTGTCATTATAGCTACTACTTTTTTTGTAGTGGGAATTGAACTGAGGACCTTGCACTCGCCAGGTATAACTACTACTAACAACAATTTTGAGAGATAGGATGGTGATCACTGGGTATTTGAACTCAGAAATGTGATTTACTAGAACTTGGGCTTTAGGAATCATTATTATATTCCTTCTATACAATTGGCAGGTCATCTGGAAAGCTGCTGAGGGGAGTTTGCTTTGTACCTGGCTACCTTTCAAGGGCATCTTCCTTGCTTTCCATTGCCACTTGTATGTCACAGCTAGTACACCATCCAGTGAATCTTGTGCCTGAGTTCCTTGCTAGTTCCCGAACTTGCTGCCTCTCTAATGACTGTCAAGTCTCTCTCCTTGCCTAAGCCATAGAGAATTCATCCATGAGAATAAGTCATTTCCTTTTGGTTGGTTTGTCTTCCATTTCCATAAGGAGCTAGAATAAATTTTGCAATCTATTCTTCATTCATGCGAAGCTAGATGACCATGTTCTGTTCAGTCTCACGTGGGCCAAGATGATGCTGTGCCACATCCAAGGTGGGCCATACAGTCTCCCAAGCGTTCCTCGTTGGCCTCTGTCTTCACTCATTGACTGGCCTCATGCAGTGGACATGGGGGGTCACTCCAACTGTCTGCTGAAGCCACAAGAGATGGCGCTGCGCGGTGCCCTTATCTGCCCAGCAGTCCTGGTTGCTCACTTGGTCTGTGCTCCAGCACTGCACAGTCAAGTGATGAAAAATTGCTAAATGCAGCTCAATAATATTAAAAGTTTACAATCTTGTGGGCCTTCATTTCTACCTCTTGAGCCCAGGTTGGACATACCTGCTTTAAGAAGGGGATTCGCTTCGGTCTGTTCTTTTTTTGCCACTGATACTCTGATACGTAGCACGGTGTCTGATGCTGAGTAAGTACTAAATAAATATGTGTGGAATGAATGAATGAGAGGATGAATCCAAAATTTCATTCTCATACTGTCCTGCTACTTTTAGAAAAGGAGACACATAGACACATTCTTCCTTCTAAAATATTGAAAAAATAGCATATCATCTGTATTTCTTCTTGGAATCTTAGCTATATGTGAATTGTTTTGGGAATGCTTACTTGTGATTTTCTAAAGTCTTCTAAAACAGAATGCAGAGTGAGAATTTTGGTTTCATGGGATTTCAATCATAACGTACTTGTTTTTGAGACTCCTGTTAAATAAGCATCTCTATATCCCTGATCATGTGCTATAGTTTGCTTTTTGTTTATTGGTACCTTTTTCAGTATATATTGGTTTTGTAGAGTCTATAAAATTGTGGGAAAAAAGGAAATAATTTTATGCAAATTGTTTTCTTTTCCTGGTGAAATAAACATTAGGTTCCATGGTATTATCTACTGCAACTAGTCTGACAAAGTGTGAAATTCATGTTTTTGGATGGCCTTTGCTGATTGTTACTAGCATACACATATCCTTTCAAAATGATTTTTGTAGTTTCCATTTTTTTGTTCTAAGAGTTCAGAGTGTCAGAGTTTGTTACAAAGTTTTGATTTCTTTAAGAGTTGTTAGTTTCTACTTGTGACATTAATTCCTAAAAAAAGAAAAAAGAAAGAAGAAAAGAAGCAGTTTCATTAGGACTGGCCACTTGATTAATGTTTAGCCAAGATTTTACTGAATTATTTAGAAATATGTTTAATTTTTTGATCAAGCCTCAGGGAAATTATTATGCTTAAGAATATAAATGTGATATTTTAATACTCTAAATTCTGATGAAATCATTGAAGGCATCATGATGCGAAGAATACCCCAGGGAAGTTATTAGCAATTTAGCATTTACAGTTCATAAGAGAATGCTAATTTCACTTACCAGAGAAAAGTACAAAGATGGCAGTCATTAGGACTAGGATCCAGTGATTGTACACTCTTAAAAATGGGAAGCTGGTGATTGTACCGACATCTGTAAAATAACTTTACCTGACGGGAAAGAGGAAGATAGATGCGCATCTGTAATTCCGCATATTTCTTTCCAGATTCCCCTTTTTGGAATGAGTTGCAATGACCTGTTCTGATAGTACTTCTTGCTTCTGTGATTTCTGTGATTTTAACCTGCACAGATGAGCAATAGCTATAGATGAAGATATTCAAGTAGTGTTAAGCTTTACCTACTGTATCTAAAATTGCTGCTGTCTTCTGATTCATTTCTGTCACTGTTATCAAGACTCATAAAAACTTTATTATTCCTACCCTCATCTTTCTTCCTTCTCATTAGCTCTTCAGGTTCCTGACTTGATTGTCAGATATTAGGAAAATATATATTTTTACAGTGTCCTTTTTCGCAAACATGTCTACCATGCCATTTACAGGTAAAGAAGCCTAAAGATGTCACATAAGTTATCACAGAATCAGTTTGTGAAAGGGGCCAGGTATATTAACTCTTAACTTTGTGGGTTTTTTTTTATGTTATCTTAATTATTTCCCCTGGGCTAACAGTTGTTTCAGCTTCATAACTGATGAGAACCAAATCAACTTTGGATGGTTGAATCACAAAATTCCCTATTACTTTCAGATTGTAGTAAATCACTTGTAAGTTACTTTCTTACATAGATAAAAAGGACAAAACCTGGGAAATGGAAAGGCCAATATAAGACAGTGAGAAGCACACAAGAAAGGAAAGGGAAGATGGAAGGAGAAGACCCACAAATCCAGAGGCCCCAGGAAGAAAGTGAAGGCAGAAAATAGATAAATTTGTGACCCTGTGAAACCTCCAATCTTTCAGAAAAGAAATGATGAGCATTAACTTGGGTTTTAGGCAAATTATTTTCTTCTAAAAGAAATTTTTCCATGAATAATAAGTACTTTGTAAATATTAGCTAGGTGCAAAAAGCAACACGAGTCACTGGCAAAATTATCTCGCTTACCCTCTTTACATTGACCCCAGGAGCAGGTGCTGCTAAATTCCCATCTCACCTGTGTGAAATTTATTCAAAGTCATATGAAAAATCAGTGGCAGAGCAGAGATTTAAATCCTAGCTGAATTTCTTTCTGGCCTCTTCACATGGCCAAACATGGGTAAAGATTGCATTGAACTCTCAGCCTCAAAGGTATTTTACTGTTCTATAAATGTTGCTATTACAGATAGATAACACGCTTATAAACAAGGATCTATGGGTAGATTCTGCTGCTTACTTCTCTATTATTATTCTTCATTGCATTAATTGCGTGGTTACTGTCTGAGTTGGGAAATCAACAATGGGAAAGACAGTCTTGTAGGGAAGAGAGGGTTGAAGTGAAATTGTTACATAAGATAAAAAAACCCAGTTGTAGAAAACCTCAGAGAAACATTTGAGAGCATGTGTTCTAGTTTTCTCATTGCTGAGACAAAATTCCTGACATCCACAAGTTAAAGGAAGAAAGGCTTATTTAGCTCACA